ATTATTACCACCAAAATATATCCAAATCTCTAAAATTTTAAGTTTATTATTAATTTGTAAGCATTATCAGAAGAAATAAATGATTAGTTCGGTAGAGATGTGTCATGAAGATTTTCAGTCTTTTAAATTTTCTATAAATCAGCATCATTTTCTTAAAATTTGCAAATGTAACGTACATGCTATAATTGCTTAATTAACATTTTCTACATAAGAAACTCAAAATATATTATAGTATTTAACTACATTTTGGTTTTAATATTCGTGATATCCCCTGAATTCAGAAAATAACTCAAGGTGAAGTTCTAAACTGCAGAATATTTTGATATTTTGAAATATTTGATATGTTGAAAAACCAAATAAAAAGTTCATGGAGTGATGTATTATAATTCCAAAAATTTTATGTTACATATAACCAATGACTTCAATGACTCCTAAACTTCATTAATGTAATTGAGAAACTTTTTGGAATAAAAGAATACATTGTGATTATTTTGCGAATTAACTGGTTTCTTCCAGACAAATTAAAATCCAAAGATCACATTTCTGCAAATATTCTGTTCTTGATATGTCTGAAGAAAGAGACAGTTAATGAGATTTGCAAAACCTGGAAGAAAAGGAAACAATAGCAGATCAAAATGTAATCAATAAGAATAATTATAATGTTAGTATTTACTATGTAATCACTAACATGCATACTGTAAAGGGAAAAAAGATGAAATAGGGTGAGAAATTTCAGCGTAGGGTACATATGGTTGTGAAAGAGAAGTCTGCAGAAAGAGTCTTCTAGAGTAACCTCGTGTCACCAAGTTCATTTATAGAGGGAACTAGAATGAATAGACTGTTAAATTTTAATTACATGGGCTATCATTGGGCTAGCGGCCTTGATGAATTGCTGATCCATTTTTTGTTCATCTTTCTAACTATATCATTAATCTTACAAAACTGCCTCTTTTTGGCACAGGATTATGAAAAGTAGTGTGTAAATGGAGCACAGATACTACCACCCCCTCAGTCTTTCCTTATACTCCTTAGCTTGGACACAAAAGCATTTCAAAATAACTATGCTAATGCTTTTAAGAATGTCTTGGTTTATCATCATTCAGAGATTAAACCTGTTATCCTACTTTGGCCAAACTGTGCATTTATATATTCACTAGAGGCACAAATTTTTGTGCACTCGTGGGGGGGCGTCCCTCAACCCAGCCTGCGCCCATTTGCAGTCCAGGACCCCTTGGGGGATGTCCACCTGTTGACTTAGGCCCACTCCCCGGGGGAACAGGCCTAAGCTTGCAGTCAGACATCCTTTTGAGAGCCAGGGAACCCTTGGGGGAT